GTCAGTGTTCATACTGAAGCATCTAGTTTCACCCCTCCCGTCCAAAATGAACCCGTCAATCAACAAAATGTTGGGAATAACCCAAACGCTGGTGGTCAACCCGACCTTGTGATTCCAACTTTTCTAGCTAATGTGTTGCAACAAATAGCCAACGCGCCAATGTTTCAACCACCTCCACCACCGCCACCTCGAGTGATAACCTACAAAACGCTAAGAGATAACGGTGCAGATTTATTCCTTGGGGATCGCATCGGTGAACCCCAGATTGCGTGAGACTGGATCAAGCAGACTGCCCGAGTGTTGGAAGATCTCAATGTACCCATGGACAATTATCCCATACTGGCTTCTCAATTGCTTCGAAAGGAAGCCTACGAGTGGTGGAAGAGGACAGATGAGAGTGCGGGAACCCCTAAGCCGTGGACATGGGCACATTTCGAATGGGCATTCAAGCAAGAATATATTCCGAAACGATTTAGCGAGGAAAGACGTAAGGAATTTGTTGAACTGGAACAGGGAGACATGACACTCCCTGAATATCGTCAGAAGTTTACCAAACTCGCAAAGTTTGCACAAACCTTAGTAAATACCCCAACCGATCGCATTGAGGAGTTCAGGAAGAAACTTCGACCTGACCTCAGGTCACGTGTATCTGTTCTAACCACTGTGGATTTCGCGGAGGCCTACGATCTCATTGCCAGGGCAGACAGCGACTTGAGTGCTTGCATTGAGTATCTGAAGACAAATAATGTCAGCTCAAGCACTCACCGTCCCACCGGCTCTGCCTCAAAAGGGAAAAGGCCCTTTCAAGAACCTAGCAATTCACATATCTCTAAAAAGGGAAAATTTGTACAAACTCAGTCGATGGCATCCGTTGATAAGTCCAAAAAGCGGAGGTATCCAACTTGCGAGCACTGTGGAGGGAATCACCCGGGAGAATGCTGGCTTAAGCAAGGGTTGTGTCTTGGCTGTGGAAAACCAGGACACTTTAGAAAGGAGTGCCCTACAAACCCCGGAGAACCGTATCCACCTGCCCCTGTTGTTAGTCAAGCAGCATCGGCACGACCTGCACCAAGTCAACGCTCAACAGCGGGGTCTAATCCAGCCAAGAATCAGAACCAACAACAAGGACGAGCTCCTGCTCGTACATATGCAATGAAAACACGAATTGAGGAGAACCCTGATGTCATCCAGGGTATGTTCTCCTTATTTGATACTGTCATGGATGTGTTGATAGACCCCGGATCAACTTTGTCTTATATCTGTGTACAAATGCCTGAAAAAGCTGACATAATGAAAGAACATTTAGAACAACCTATACTAGTGTCTAACCCGTTAGGACATAGTATGAGGTTAGATCATGTGTATCAAAACTGCCCATTGATTGTTGAAGGACATCAGTTCTCTGTCAATCTTATCGAACTACCGTACAAAGAATTTGACATCATCCTCGNTGGGACATGTGATTTCTCAAGAAGGTGTTAAGGTAGACCCCAGTAAAATATCTGCCATCACCGAGTGGAAGGTTCCAAGGAATGTTCGTGAAGTGAGAAGCTTTCTTGGATTAGCTGGATACTATCGACGATTCGTTGAAGGCTTTTCCTCGATCGCAACTCCACTTAACAAACTTCTGAGAAAAGATGTGAAATTTGTATGGACCGATGCATGTCAGCAAAGCTTTGAGAATATGGTAGTAGCATCTCTCAAAGTCAAGCAACGAGGAAGAAACTCAAGCAAACCATCCAACTCTCCCCAACTCTCCCCTCCCTTTTGGCTCGGCTCAGCAGTAGGAAGCAACAAGGAGGAACGGCGATCGAGAAGAGAAGGAGGGGAAAGAAAGAGGAAGAAGTCCATTCTTTAAACGTTCGTGAGACGTGGTGCTGTTCGTAGCGCCGTTCGTACCATTTTCCTCTTCAATCAACCGTTTGCTCTAGAAGTGAGTACATTGCCCCTCTAGCTTTAGAACTCATAGTTATATTCAATATAGTTATGTTCATAGGATTACTTGGCATAACCTACGTTGAATCTGTATGATCATAGTTTTCTCGTATTAAAGATATGTGGTATGAAAGTAGTTAAAAAGTAATCATCTAGAAATCCATTGGAATGAATGGGTACTACATATATAGATATATTAGTTAAACTTAAAAGTTCATTATAATTTTCAATAGGTTGAATGTAACACCCAACTCACGTAACCCGAACCAAGGAGTTAACAAATTGGGTTGCTACTAAATTGATATTCACAACACAACAAGTTAGACAAATTATTCAAAAACATATAGACACCGAGTTAATTACGAAAAATTCAGAGTGAAGTCCATCTAGTGCGGAAGTCTCAAAATAACGTTCTACAATAAATGTTTAAACCAAACAATTAATTCAACGCATTAATTAAATATTCAAAACAGAAATAATGACATCATCCACGGCGTCACATGTCAACGTCCTCCAGGCTGGCCCTCTAGATCCAAATCCCTTCCTGCGTGCAGTCAAAGACAACAAGACTACACGCTCAGTTGGAACCTGAGTGAGAAAAATAGCTAACGCTAGAATTAATTTCACAGATAGTATCACATTTATATAATCAGCAACATCAGTGAACAATCAACATTTATTTTCAGATGCAAGGATCTAACAATTCCAATTCATTTATTGCCAAAGGGTCATTTCTGTCCCTAGAACACTAAGGCTAAATTCAACATATTAGAGTTACGGACACCAGGGGCGGACCCAGAAGTTTCATGTCGGGGGGTCGTGTTTGTAAGATGTTTAATGAAACATGACATGTTGTGCATTAAATAAAAAAGTATTTTTTGAAACATTTTGTCTCATTTTTGTTTATAATGTTTCTTATAACATTTTTTATTGAATTTATTTAAATATTGGCTTTGAATATAAACTTAAAAATAATAGATTAAAAATAACATAAAACATTTTATAAAATAAGTTCATAACTAATTTTTAAGAAAATAATAGACGAAAACATGTAACGAAAGAATATCTAAATTGACTCTGTAAATAATCGAAAAGAAAAACATAACGAGATGATGGAGTAATTCATAAAATTAAATATTATATTTATTGCAAAAATATTAAAGTGAATTGAACTTTCTATATTTTAAGATTATATTATTATAATATTATCACTAATAGTAACAAATATGTGTCTCCCTCCTCCGTCCCAAACTTAATTAAATTATTACTATACTGACAAACTCTCTTTTCCTTATATGTTTTCATTGATTATTTAATAAAATAAAATATTCTCGTTATATCTTATTTTATAAAAAAATTTATATCTTTTATTATGTAAATTATACTCTCTCTATCTCAGAATATTCATATAGTATGATTTTTTTTATGTCAAATTGAATAAACTTTTGTTTCAATACCAATTTGTAAATAAAGTATATGTAAAAAAATTATTGATTTTCTACTAGTTTTTAAAAAGTCAAATCAATTATTGGAGAAAATGAATATGAATAGACAATAAAAGAATGAAACAAAAAAAGCAATTAAAAAGTAGCGAACAAAAAAAAGAAGGAAAGCGAAAAAGTGGAAAAAGTTGGTCTCTACATGGAGGCTCGAACTCAAGCCACATTAAACAAGTATCTAGGTGCTAGCCACTCCGCCAATCCATCGAACTACACTTAGATGCATTTCCATATCGATATACTCCGTATAATATATATATATACACCTAAATACATATAAACAAATATTTTAAAAATTACAAAATTTCCGTGGGGTCGTGTGACCCCGTGTGATCCTATGTGGGTCCGCCCCTGACGGACACTCGAGTGGATCCCTCGAGGTCGATGCTCGGACAAACCCAAAGAGAATCCTCAATCGGCGGGTTGGAGTCCCTACCAACGAAGGAAAGAAAATGATGAGAAGAGAAGGCTAAGAAGGATACCTGGCCGAATGTCAGTAGGACCATATCGGCTAAGTCGCTAAGAGAGCTGGCGAAGATGCAGGCCCGATAATGGGCAAGAACCATGATCGTGATCTCCACTGGGAAATCATCCAAGCAGGGAGATGGACGATGGGGGCGCTAAACTTTTTCAAACCACCCTCACTCGCCACCTCATAGGTCAAGGCCGGTGGGGAGGGAGGTCGCTCCGAAGTGGTGCCTCGGGACGACCCTGGCAGGTCGCTCCTAGGAGTCGCTGTGCACGAAGGGGAGCTGGTCACCATTGTCCCCATCTCCGGGGTCGCCTCGTTTTGATCCTCCAGCTCGATCAACACCTGATCGAGCTGGAAACGATCCTCATGACTTGAGGATGGACGACGCTCCTTGCCTTGGAGGGCTACGTCCCTCTTCCTCTTCTTCCCTCTTACAAGATGGTGCGACAGCAGCTGGTCGTCCATCTCGCCTCCTGATCCCTCTTGTTCAACTGAAACAGACAAGGTGGTTAGCATACGAAGGGCAATGTCGAAATACTCAGCTAAAAGGAGGGAGGATTTACCAAAGGGACCAAAGTCGGTGTTTCTCCCGTGGAGATCCCTGAGCAAGTTAGGTTGGTGGCGATGTTCGTCCTTGACGAACTCAAATCCAAGCTTGGCGAGGGATTCTTCAGTCACCACCGACCTAATCTCCACGACGCCCTTGCCGTAGAGCTTTCTTATGATGGACTGAAGTGCAGCGTTTGGCCGCAGTGGCGTAACAAGACGAAATAATGGGTGCTCAGAACCCGTGAAAGGAGATTCGGGCCCCGTGGAAACAAAGACAAAACAAGGCTTCCAATTCTTGGTCGACCCCTTCTTGTCACTAGTGTAAAGTTTGCTCAATCGCTAGGAGAGACTGGCATAGGAAGCCCAGTCCTTGTGACCCTTGGCGAGCTTGAAAGTAAATAGGAAGTGGTCTAGGGTGAGGTTCACCTAGACCTCTTGACATTTAATCAAGTAGGCAACGATGTACCGATGGGAATTCGGAACCAGTTAGCAGGGAAGGAGATCCACTTCGTTGAGGAACTCCACCAACAAAGAGTGCAGAGGAAACCGTAACCCCTTCTTCAATGAGGCCAGGTGGACGGTGAAGAACCCTCGAGGAGCGTCAAGGGCGGTTTTAGTTTTAGTGGGTCGCCGGACTTCAATGGCAGGGCTGACCATATCAGTAGCGTCGTTGAACCTATGGTCAGAGATCTGACAGTGACACAAAGCCATGATGTTCTCCTCCAACTCAACCGTGGGGCCCCGTAACACAGGGGGAGGAGAAGGGAACTGTTTCCTCAGCCAGCGTCGCTTTTGGTCGGTTGCGGCCGCATATGATGGCTGAGGCGGGTCGGATTGGCTCTGATCCTGGCTGGAAGGGGTTGATTGATCGGCTTGAAGAGAGCTAGATGGTGGGGAAGCAGAATCTGAATCCGAAACGATCATGATGGAGAATGGAGAACTGACCTGAAGATTGAGGAAGCGGGTCGGGTTACAACGAAAGAACGAATTGATGAAGATGGGGATGAAAATGGCGTCCAACGGCGATTTTAATCAGAGTGCAGTGGAAGGCGAAGGAGCAAGTTATGATTGCATTTGAAGGAAATCGTGCCAACCGTCACACGAAAACCAAGGAATGGCTTGGATCCGTTGAGTGGGTGCCCACGTGGACCTTAATAACTCCCCATCCCTCGACGTGGCCCGCCAGAGGAATGAAGAGTTGGGGGGCTTGTGATAGGCCGATACCCAACGGGTGGCCCAAACCTCATGCCCAAGAGGCGCTTGAGTACCCGTATGCGCATGCGACAGCCCTAGGCCGGCCCACAGGTTTGGGCCTGGCCCGACCCAAAGGACGCGCAGCTAGAGGAGACCGAATTGGAGGAAGAAACGACTGCGGACGCGAAGAGGTAGGCGAAGAAAAGGGATCGCGAGAATTTCTGATTAACTTCCATAAATTGTAAGCTACCATAATTACGTAGAAAGCATGTATAAATAGGGACACTGGCGGATCCACAACCATGAAATGGGGGGCATATGCCCCTAGTGAATTGTTAGTAGATACAAAGCAAGTATTGTAGTTTTTGAAAATATTAAAAAATTTGATGGATTTTGATTTATGCCCCAGTAAAAATAATATATGCCCCCATTCTATTTTTAAAATACCTAGCAGTAAGTCTCACACAGTTTTGGTGACTAAGCCAAAGATTTTACTCTGTATTTCTTTATCTTCTTAGGATATTTTTTTCTCCACCCATGCGGCATAGTAGGTTGCAACAGTCTCAACTTAAGGTCATTCTGGTTTAATTTATTTATTTTGTATTATGTATAGTTTTTATCATGTGTTTAAACATTTATTTTTTTATTATCTATGTGGAATTGTTAAAAATTATAGTGTATTATTTTCTGAAAATTATGTAATTATTACGTGTGAAACAACGTAGAAAAAAATACTACTATATAAAATAGAATATGGGAGTGAAAACATTTAAAATATATTCCATCGGTCCCTGAAAGCCTTTTTCTTTCTTTCTTTCACCCGTCCCAAAAAACACTTCTTATTTCTATTTAAAAATCACTTTTACCCCTCACTTTTTCACACCCTACCTATCACATAATAACTTTTTACTAATAACATACCCATCAAATCCTACTTTTACCTATCACATCAAAGGATTTTTTTGAAAATTTAATACCAAAATCGGAGGTCCGTCCTAGACTTCTGCAGTGTTCCGCTATTGATGCTTGAAGGAGTCGAAGTTGCCCCCAATAATTTTTTTCCCTGGATCCGTCACTGAATAGGGAGGACCCGATTGGGGATCCTCAAGCTAAACCTACCGTATAATTCCCTAATTCTTGAGTTCTTGTTTATTGTTAATTCTCTCGATCCTCCGTTCAAAGTCGGATCATTTGGTGAATTTATTGACCATCAACTATATTGTTAATATTCAATATATCATTTATTTAAATTGTTGCTTAAAATTTTTCCAATGCACATACAAGAAAAAAATTAACTCAACAAAGACACATTAATACTATTCAGTACAGATTTACTTACAGTTAATAATATGATCGCAAATAAATTCGAAGGATAAATAAAAATTAATTTAGATAAGGGTATGTTTTGGCAGAGTAAACAATGTTAGTCGAGAGACTAAGGGGGGTGTATTGGACATAGATTTTAAAAGATTATGTTAGATTTTTTATAATCCATGGATTATGTAAGATTTATGAATTGTTTTAATTCTATGAGACTTCAATAGATTTCCATTTATTATATTGTAAATATTTATCAAACTTCTAATGGATTGTTCTCAGCCCAAATGGTTGAGCCCACAAAAGAAAAAAAGAGATAGAAGGCTCTGGGTTGAAGAGACATTTGCGATCTCAAATTGAAATGGTGTCGCCTCCTAACTTGAAAACTCTGCAACACCAAAGGCTCTGGATTAAAGCGGAAGGCTCTGCAACGGTGTCGCCTCCCAAGCCGCCTCCCCCCGTCCCGCCGCATATGATGGAGAGGAGCCCCCTTACTCCCCTCCCCCCGCCCCTTCTCAGCTTCTCCCTCGTCACGCCCCTGCAGCGGTCCATTACGATGTCGAAGCTTTCAAAAAGGATGGAGAAAGTAAAGAGTGTCCAGATTGGAGTGGAGGAGGAGGAAGAAGACCACGAGATTCAAATCGACCAATTGAAGCTGAGGAATCGGCCATGGTTTATGTTGTGGAGAGATAAACTGGAAGCAAAGAGACGGGAATGTATGCCCATAGAGATTTCACTAACCCATCTCTTTGTTTTGGAACCTTTTCAACAACCACTGTATGGGTTAGTACATGAGAGGATGAAGGAGAGGCGGACGGTCAGAGGAACGGCGAAGAACGGAAGGAGTATGCAAGGAGTTTTTATAATCTTGCACTTTTGGATGAGATTTGAGAATGAATTTATATTTATACTCAATGCTAAAAAATCCATCATTTAAAAAATTTCTAAAAATCTATCAAATTTTTGAATACCATTATATTTAGAAGGATTTTTTAAAATCTAAATTGAATACCTAGACATTTTCAAAATTCAAAAAATAGATCAAAATCCTTGATGGAATAGGCCCCTAAATCTTGAAACTCTGATTTTAGCGGTATCTTGGATTCTTTGAGAGGAAGGAAAAAGAGGCTAAGATAGCTCATCCATTTCATATCTCCTAACTCTTGAGATTAATTTTCAAATGCATCTAAATCCTTACGCATAATTCTTATTACGTTTCGTCTAAATAAACCCCTCAATGCCCCCGCCGGATAAACCTCCCCGCCGTTTCTCGTTCTTCGGCATCACTGCAGGTCTCGGAGGAGGTGGCCGGGGAGGAAGAAGCAAAGGAAACGCCGCCGATCTGCCACTGCCGCGGCTGAAGCTGGAAGTGGACAGGGAAGTGTACAGACCCGGCGATCCGGTGACCATTACGGTCGAAATCACCAACCCCACTTCTTCGTGCTCACTTCTGATCGAGAAGCTAGGTTTTGAAATCAAAGGGATCGAGAAATTGGATACTCAGTGGTTCTCCACTGCCAAACCTTCTCTGGATTCTAAGCAGCGCAGGGGTTTGTCTATCTCTCTTCTTCATTGTATCTGTGATTTTGTACTTATTCTTCAGTTTTGCCTTGATTTTTCAGTTTGACAATATCAATATTTCTTGATGGATTATCATCCTAGATCTTGGAGGCTACTAATCATACTTTGGCATTTTCCATATGCATTTTCATTTTTGATCGAGGAATAGTGCCCAAATCCAAGTAATATCTAGGAAACAAGTCCTGCCAGATAAGCGCGGAGTAGATTTTGTCCAACTGTAAACACTACAATAGTTTAACAACTCTAATGGAAAATTAGTTGTCCGTCTTACTATTCTATTTTACCTAGGTTCGGAGGAAAATTACTTAAAGAAAGATCAGTTCCAGAAATAAGAGCAAAATAATAGATAGATCCTGACATGCATAAAATGTTGTGGTTAGAATATGTTGACAATGTCTATGTCTGACCTTGGAGTCCAGGACCTAAGAACCCACCTCACCATTCCCATGGAATATCTCTGGTAAGCACCTGTGCTGCCTGAACCCACTCTTCAGTCACAGTCCAAATAAACCTTGACTGCCATATAATGTGCTGAGAATTTCAGTCTGATCATTCTGATATATCAATTGAAATATATGTCATATTGTCATGCGAAAGATAGAAAGATGAATATTTGTGAGCTTATTATCTGTTATAGTCATTTGTGCTCGGATGTTGCTTAAGTGCTACATATCTAAGATTGTTAAACTTGATCCTAGTTAGCAAATGATGGAATTGAGTACTAACTAGTCATAACTAATGCGGAGTATGTGAAGTTTAAACTTGAATAAGTTTCAGAGTCGTATAAAAACTTAAGTTTAAACTCAGTCTTATAACAACTTAAGTTTAAAATTCAGCCACACTTCATCCATATAACATCCTCATGAGTATAGAGTTGCGAGTCGACCACTACATATGGTGGTATACAACCAGATAGTTGATAATGAATGAAAACAATACTCTGACAGAAGAAATGGAAGAGCGATTGATGGAAAATACAATAGGCAAAGAAGATGAATCTTTACAAGTCTACCAAGCGCTACTCTCGTAGTCAGCCAGCTTCAAAGAACAGTCTCAAGATGAATTACCAATGAAAAATGCTTTAAGTCAACAAATCCATAGAAGAATCATGAAGAGGTATGGCAGTTTGACTAGGGATTCGATGTGACAATATGCCATCTATCTAATTCGATGATCCAAGATGAATTGAGATTTTTTTATCCTAGCTACGAATCATACAATCAAGATTGCTTAACCTATGCTTAGGATTGTTTAATCTTATGGCTCAACACCTGGTCCTAACAAGTATAAGGGCGCACATATCCTCTATTAGTTAATTATTAGAGGTTTTTCCTCACATATTAATTAACAACGTTTACTAGCATATAATGTGCTGACTATTGAGGATTTCAGTTGTGATCATTGTGATATATCAATTGAAATACATTTCTTGCCAAAGATTGAAAGATGAGTACTTATGGCCATAATATTTGATTTGGTGATTTGAGTGCGAATGTTGCCACATATTCATTGTTGTTAAACTTAAGATTGTATTTAAGAAATGATACAACAACCCAGTAGAATCCTACAAAAGTAGATTCTGGGAGGGTGTGTACGCACATCTTGCCCCTACTCAGAAGTGGAGGGGGTAATTCCATGATAGTTAGGAAATGATAGGATTGAAAATTTGTATCTCGTGGATTCAAACAAGAGTCATAACCTTTCTTATAATGTATGAAAAAGTGGAGATTGAAACATAATTTAGATACGAAAGGAATTGTTTATTTGAATATAAAAGGTATGGCATATTATTAGAAAGAAATTTTGTAGTTAGAAAAATGGACTTTGGAGTTTTAAATGTGTGTACTTCATATGAAATGCTTAAAAGCAAACAACGATTGGAGAAAAAAGAAAACGTTGGAGTTCTCACTAATGATGTTTTTGTATCTTACATTTTACTGCTTTTGTACGTTGTCTAAATGCTCTCAAATTAATTCTTATAGTCAATTCCCCATTATCTAGCATGCCCAAATTGTTAAACTTTTAGTGCTTTTTGTTTTTTGTTCGGGGCCACTCCCCTATAAAGATTAGAAGCTCTCCACCAAAAACTAAAGAGCTTTTAGGGCTAGATAAGAAGGAAAAGAAGCATCAAAGTTGAGGGTCCTTTACAATAGAATCTTTTATGCGTTGTTTGGTACATGGAATGAAAAAATGAGAAACAGATATGTGGGTGAAGAATCAAGAAAGATTCTAAATTACTCCCTCCGTCCCTTACATAAATTTACACTTTCCTTTCTCATCCATCCTAAAATAAAGTTTAGATTTCTCCTCTTTCGTTTTTAAGAAAAGAATACGTGGATCACAACATTTCTCCCTTTCCCAAACGAATTCCCAACTCACACCTTTCACTTTTCAACACTTTTTTTATATTCCTTGAAGTCAAATGATGGATTTAATTTGGGGACAAAGGGAGTACATAGTTTGGTCAGTGGTGATAACATGAACTGGAATAATTAGGGAAGAAAGGACTAAATACAAAATGTCATATATAAAAAAGCACACCCATTATGAAATTAGAGTAATATTTTTAGCTAATTCGTTTTTTCATTCCAGTTGGCATGTAGAATATGTTTTGCAGCAAGTAGTAGTTAGTTGACAACGTTGAGCAGTTAGTAGTTAGTTGATGGTAGATAGTAGTTTCTATCAATTATTAGTGGTTTTGACTTCCAGGTAGCAATTTGTAAAAAAAATATTTGCCTTTGTTTGGTAACTTGATAGAATGCATGCTTTCAAAATGTTGATTTACCAACGTCACCATTCAAATGTTGATCATATAAGCATTCTGCTAAGCACGCTAATTCAAAATGCTGATTTACCAAACACACCATTCAGCATTTTGACCCATAAAAAACTAAAAATGCTGCTCTGTGTCAAAATGACGCATCTTACTGCTGTTTAAAATGCCATTTACCTACGCCCCCCTCCCCCCAATTAAATTTAATCCTGTGGTATGAGTAAGGAAAACTTATTCCCAGTTTGGATTGAGAGTGTTTCCACTAGAATTTTCTCTTGCGCACAATACATAGGAACATTTCTACATTGTGGATATTCTCATAAATTAATAAATATTCTTGTGTACCTAGCATGTTATTAGAGATGAGTACATCAAGTTCAGAATTTGTCCATTGTCTATATATCTCTATATGTATTAGAGTGGGGATTTATTGCCTAAGCTTCTTATATTGAAAAAATGTATTAAACGTGTGTGCATGAGCATATGTTCATACCATAATACAATTGTGTGTGTTCAGCACATGTGCATATGTTCATATTGCTATACAACTACTCCTACTTACACACATGTTGCTAGTCCTCTCTTGGACTGACATTTATGTTTTTTTCCTTCAGGTGAGTTTGTTTTCATGGATTACTTGACTCCTGCATTAGTATCAAACAAAATTGTTACCTATGGGGCAACCAAAAAATGTAAGTCTTTTTTGTTTTCACATTCTTCTACTCTTGTATTGTGTGATACAGGCTCTCTGAGATTATCTTGGCAGATTTGCCCCTTCTGTCGTTTTCTCTCTCTAGGAGTCAAGTGATGAATTAGACTTTCTATGTCTACTCTAATTTGGGCACTAATAAGTGTGCTAGAAAGAGATTAGACTTTCTATGTCTACAACTCTGCATTCAAGTTGTGTTAGTACCTTCCATAATGCTTCTTGATTAGAAATAGTGTAAATGGAAATTCCTTATAGAATTTAGGCTGTAAACATCGTTTTAAAAATCGGACCACACCAGTAGAACTAGGAAATATTTGGGCAACAAACCCGATAATCCTGAAGAAACTGCACATCTAAAACAAATGAGAACTAACCAAAAAAGTAATAGAAACTCATTTTAACTGATCAGTTACAAGCAAGGTTGTTAATCGCGATCTAGATCACACAATTATATAATTGTACTAGTACTATTCACCTCTGTGATCTGGATCGTTGCTAGCATTGGAAATTCTCAGGATCAATGAGGCTAGACCTAGAATTGCCGGATCGTGACTACGATTCGATCTGGGAAAGTCATCAGTGAAAAAAATAGGCTTAGTCGCAGGCTCTTTGCCGATCTCTGGTGCGATAGCTTTTCTTTTTTTATTTTGGAATAGTATAACTGTATAAGCCTACTGGGTAGGTAGTACGGACGGCTTCCTTTTGCAATCGGTATACCTTTTCTTTTTACAATGTTACTACTTACAATGTGGAGTACTTTTATATTCCATCAATAAAAGTTCTCCGTTACTTTTTATTTTCCTTAAGCGAGCGCTTCAGTAAGGCTACTTTTTTATTCTCCTTTGGAGTATGTCTACTTTTTTATTTTCCTTATACACATGTCATAAGTTTTAAATATTACTATGATTTTACGGTTCGAGTTACGATCTCCTCACCCCCAACGATTTTAGCTAAAATCTCGAGTTTAACAACCTTGGTTAGAAAGCTGGTCTGGACTGATCTTTATAATTGATCATCATCATCATCATCATCATCATTTTGAAATGAAAAAATCTAATTATTATCCAAACAAAGCTAAAGTAAAAAATATAAATCTTATACAGAGTTACATCGTTTTGAATATGTTTAGATCCTACTTGTGGGATTTCATGGGGTCAGTGTTTTTTTGTTGTTATTATTATTATTTTTTATTTCATCATATAAATCAGATACCATCTTCATTAATGTAAATTTAAAATTTAGTTTGTCTTGTTTTCTCAATATTCTATATTACTCTGGGGTAATTTTTTTCTTCTTATCTTAAAGAATACAAAAATTTACTCTGGTTCACCGGGTGCTTTGTGACGACGGTAAGGTGCAAGATGTGTTCTTGTCTCCTTAAGGAACACTTTGGGCCACCACCTGTCACTTCCCACTATTTCCCCCGCTCTGAACAGGTGCTTTGAATTATACTCCCACTGTATGTTGAAAACATGGCTGAATAGAGGCAATTTCAAACTCATCCATTGGAGTGGCCTCATGGAAGAGGATGCTACTTGGGACATTTTTTCTAATTTCTGTATTTGCTTTCCAACCTTCAAGCTTGAGGACAAGCTCAGCCTTCATGAGGGGCTCTTGATGCATTCATTGGAATGCTATACTACCCACCTCCGGCGCTGGTAGACTGCAAAGGAGTAGACACTACTGTGATGGAAGGATTTTATTTACTTTTCTGTTTGTTCACAATTAGTTACCCCAGTATTTCTTAGGACTCTTCAATTTGGCAACTAGTTATTTGCTATGGTTCTTTTATTAACTGTCGCGGTTTCCTTATCACTATAGGATTGTATGCTTCAGTAAAAGAAGGTAATCTAAACCTATTTATCCATATTTGAATAAAGAATTGACTTTCTTTTTTCCTAGCTCCTTTTCTCAGTTCATTCTGTGTTCTTTTCTTCCGACTACTTCCTAGAAACCATAGGGAATAGTTCATCTTCTTCCTCTGTTGCACACAGGCTTGTAACACAAATAGTATCTAGCAAACATAACACAGAGTTGGACCGTTGAACCTTGAAAATGTGACTTTCACGGTTTATTGTCCAGTCTAGTTTTTAAACATTGATTGTGATTTGTAACAGTATAAGGGCACACCTTTTTATGGTTGAAATTCAAAATGCTGTCTTTCAAAAAGTTTCCAGTTGAATGTTAATTTTGCGTACTTCATTTTTGCAGTCGTAGTGCGAAGTGTTCTGCCTGGCATCATACCACCATCATATAGAGGTGCAACCATCCGTTATCTGTACTATGTTAGAATCACATTGCGTGGACAATATTTAATCGTAGAGAATGGACATTTCCGTGAAGAGTCAATTAGAGATCTTCCCGAGCTGGTTGGTTCTTTTTGTTTTTTTCAGTATGGAGTACATCATTTTGTTGTACTAGTTATATTTCTGTTGGCAGGCTTTTCACTTCCAAGAAAGTTTTGCTACCTTTTATTCCGTCATGCCGATTTTCTCCATTTTGTCATATGTTTGTCATCCATGATGTCCTCAGCTTCTTATCTTTTTTTATATATAACAATTGTTTTGAAGCATTTAGATGGTTGTACCGATGTATTACAACATCAGTTCCCCAAAACTATCCTGGGATTCTGTTGGGTCGGTGGTGTAGAGCGATTAATGTTGTTCATCTAGCATTTTTCTAACAATGTGAATATGTAGTTGCCATTTTGTTATGTGTAGATTCTGGAGTCTATCTCTCACTCCTCAGTGTCAGCCTTTAGCAATTCATTCTCAAAGCTTTTAGTTAAAACTCTCTCGTGGTTTAGGGAAAAGTAAGTTCAGTAATGTATCCATTATGTGTGCTTTGTTATTCATAGCAGGCTTGCTGACGAATGGTTCTTAGTTATAATCCCTACTATTGGGAATTTGGGACTTCAGGCTGATCCAAGTTTATACCTCAAGATGTGCATTATCATCCGAATAGGACTTGCCTGGTTGTGCCTTCTTGATGAGATTTGTTGAAAATTTCAAATATATGGATTGGTTACCCTTTTTCTTTGTAGAAATTTAGAAATCAAGGGTAAATGCGATATGTTAGTCTTTAGCTCCTTATTCATCAAGAAAATCTAAATATATGGCTTGGATATCCTCTTCATTTATGTTTCTTACTTTCTTCTGCCCAAGCATGTCACACCGAATTAGTGCAAGATGATGGGTCAATATTTTTCAGCCAATTAAAGTTGGAATGTGAATGAGTTATGTTTCCTCTGGCTATTACCAGCAATACACAAATCATGTTTCTAGCTGTCCTTTTGTATTTATTGTTCTTGAAGAAGGCTCCTCTTCCCTGTTTGACAAACAAGTTCTAGTTTAGCACGTTCAATGAACTCTTGTGACCTCTTATTGAATTGTTTAGTTTAAAAACAATGATAAGATCAGATTTTCACGGATATTCCTTTTATTGTCTAAATTGGCATCAAACTTCACCATGCTCTGATTCATTCAGGAAACTCGAATACCATTGCAAATATGGGTGACTCAGAATGGTAATGGCTTGCAAAACGAGGAAGGTGAAACTGATGGTAATTCTCTACCCCTGTTAATATGCATTATGCAGTATTTGTCATATTGTCTTCTATTTCTCGTCTGATTGCTGCCTTTCAATACATGTTGTGGGCTGAATGATTAAATTCCTACATCATGGATGGCTACACTATGAATGAAATTTGAGTAGAGTTATAACTTTTGAGTGAGTGGATTCTCCAAACAACAAATGCTACAACTCTTAAATGATTATATCTCATTATGACAATCTTCACTTACTGTTTATTTAGCAAATACTCCCTCCGTCCCACTTTAGATTACAATATTCCCTTTTTGTTGAAATTAAGGAAGAGTCAAATTAATTTTTTTCCCCCAAATTACCCCCAAATCCCCCAAGTGTCCTCAAGGTTTTAAAAGGCGAAAACTAGCCTCGAGGCGGTAGAGGAAAATGCCTCGAGGCGTAAGCCTCGAGGCGGAACAAGGCGTAAGCCTCAGATCAACTTGATAAAAGATAACAAACAAAACAACTTTTAGGTAAACAAAATGCATAATGCATAATTATGTCAAATAAGTCATTAAGTAATACATAAGTTTTCATTTAAAGCAAAAAAGGGGGGCAGAATAAAAACGCAATAAGATAATCATGATTCAAGATAACCAAAACACTAAAAAAGTTGATGTAAAACCAAACTATATGTAAAAGATTAAATTTAAAGTAATTATAAATTATAATATAAACAATTTAACAATCAAGTTAAAACAAATCTTCAAGAAATCATAAATTCGTACCTTAAGAGAGAAATGAGAATAGGAAGCCAAATTGCACAGGAAAGCCGCGACCAGAGAGAAACGACCGGAAGCCAGAGCGAAAGAGAGAGACGGCGAAAGAGAGAGAATCGGAAGCTGGACAGCCACGCAGGGGTGCGATTGGAAAATTGGAACTTTAAGAGTTTTTATTTATATTTAAGTAGTGCTTCCTGCCTAACTTTTTCAAAGGGGCCAACTATTTGAAGGCCCAATAACTTAAATTCAAAAGGGCAGAATATGGCTTATACGGACTATATTTCAAGGCGAACGCCTCGTTTCTGCCTCAGCGCCTTACCGCCTCGAACCGCCTCAATAAATCAAGGCGTACGCCTCGCGGAAATCATCTGGTGCAAACACCTCTGGGGCAAAAAACTACCGCCTCAGCGCCTTACCGCCTCAGGGCGGACCGCCTTTTTCGCCTTTTAAAACCATGAGTGTCCTTCCCACTCACATGGATGAATAGTGTGTGAATAGTGTAGGAGTGGGAGGGTAAAATAGTCAATTCCTTGTAAAGTTATTGACTTTGTAATTCTTTTTGGGACAAAAATGTGAGGGAATATTGTAATCTATTTCGGGACGGAGGGAGTATTTATGATCTATGCATATTAAATTTTTTGATTTCCTTGTTAATTGGTATCACAAATAATGTTGTTTCAGGAATTGTTCCTACTACAACAATCATGTTGGATGTTTACTGGAAAGAGATGGATGGCGATTCTGAATGGGTAACACATTCTACTGCCAGTCAAAATTGTTTGATTGTCTAGATATATTGCTAAGAACTCTTAAAACTTAGTATATGGGCCAGATTAGGATAAATACACCTGATAATGAATTACAATTACTAAAATTTGATAAACATATTTTCTATAAAGCAGTCATTTTTCCTGTATAAAATTTAGAAGAATACGTATGATGTTTTATTACTTTGTCCTGTTAAGTTCTACAAATGGGTTTTTCTTGTGTAATGGGAATTTTGAAGTTGACTTAAATCACTTGATGGAATCACTTTAGATCGGCTAATTCTGAATGAAATCTATGAAGGATAACACAACCTGCCTACTTTTTTCTTCTCACAGGCCAGAGTTAATGAAACATTTGATGGTATCGAAGACGATTCTGAAAGCGCGAGGGATGAAGTTTCATCTATTTCTTCATACAGTACCATGAAAGAAAATATACACACAACTTTTGGAAGCTCATTGTCTTTGCAGTCTGCTGCAGCAAGATCTTCACGTAAAGATCTTTCATTGCTTGAAGGGCACACTACAAGCATATCTCCTCATGTGGAACTTCCACAAATATCTGTAGCTGAGATTTCATTTGATTCAAGTGTTGGTGAGCCACCTTACTGGTTGCTTGTTTACACAATTGATTCTGTTATTACTAAAAGAATGGCTTCTTTTCAGTTTTCTCATGATATAACCATTCAGTAAATCTCTAATGTCTGAATTTCTGTTCAAATGATTTATATTTAGCAGATGTTTTGTCTCCAAGTAAGTATGAAGTCTCTCCAAGCCAATGCCTGGAACAAACAAAATCATTTTCTCGAGATGATGAATCAACAATACCTTCTGTTTCTCGGGCTGGTGATTCTGGAGCATGTAAATAATTTGCTTTTAATTCTGTACTCATTTTATTAGCTTCCTTTCTCATTTGTTTGGTTAATGATACTAATCCTTTATAAGTCAGCTAATTTACAGCAAACATTTTCTGCAGCAGAAGGGTTTATTAGAGGAAGATCTTATAACATCAGACTTGATGATCAAGTTCTTTTAAGATTTTCTCCAAAAAACTCTGAGTCAACGTACTATTTTAGTGATATGGTAATTGTACTGTGATGCTTTTTTCGGTGCTGCTTAATTGACATTGCCATTGATTACCCCCTCCTTTTTTTCTCCTTTTGTAACAGATTGGTGGAACCTTTACTTTCTTTCATGAAGAAGGAACCAGAAGATGCCTCGAGGTATTTTTCATGTTTCCAAGAACAGTAGGAAAAATATCAATTTTTGCGCTTGAGTTCTGGGCTTCATCTCTAGTTTTTCATGTGCGCATTTATAGTCCCTGAGCTATCGAATAACTAGCTGTTTTTGTCCTTCATCAAACCCTAATCAAACAGATGTTAGAGACTAACGGGTGGTTGAAAAAGAATCAAACTTAGTTAATGCCTTAGGTTTTCCATGAGACGGTAGTGAGCTGACACTTTTTATGTTAACAACTCCCAACTCAAAACGATTTTAGGAATTGTAGCTAGAGGATTTTCGACATATTAAGGAGCTCTATTAATGGGGGGTGATATTTGCACTCCAATTTTTACGATTGGCACTCCACTTTTATTTATTTATATTTATTTTCCAAAAATATCCCTCAATATTTCATCTTCCTTCACATAAAATATACGGAGTAGTAATTACTCTCTTGTACCAAAGTATTTGTCCAATTTTCACTTTTTACAGTCAACCAGGATCAAAATTGGACTTATAATTAAATTAAAATAATGTCGTATATTAATTAGATAAAATAATATTTTAAGTAGCAGTTAGTCAAGCAATGCGACTTTCGACGTTGAGCCGGGGGTCTCTTTGGAAACAGCCTCTCTACTTTCAAGTAGGGGCAAGGTCTGCGTACACACACCCTCCCCAGACCCTACTCTTGTGGGATTTAACTGGGTTGTTGTTGTTGTTGTATTTACAAAATAAATTCAATAAAATTATTTTTGTATCAATATCTAAAATCAATTTTATATAATTTTAGGTCAAAGTTTACAAATTTTGACTACAAAAAGTCAAAATTGAACAAACACTATGGGACGGAGATAGTACTTATAACACACAAACTTTTGTTAACCTTTCAGATCATTATTCGTAATTACTACTTTTCTAGTTAATTAATTTTGGCTAGTTTTGTTGAATGGAAATTTTGAGTTCTTAATTTTTTTACTCTGCTTTTTTTTTAATTTTTTATTAATCATAATTTAATTTTTTGCTGTAATATATTACTGTCCCAAAAATATTCTCACTTCGAACATGTAAAATTTCATCTTTTTAAAAAATATTTTATTTACAAATTTGTATAATAATAAAAAGCTCAAATTACATTTTTTTTCGTAATTTTTTTTTATTTACAAATTGGTATAGAAATAAAAAGCACAAATTTAAAATTTTAAAACTATATCAAAAGTTCTTTAAAACAAGATGTGGTAAGAATCTTTTATTTTATTAAATAATCAACGAAAATAAACAAATAAAAAAAAGTTATCAAGATTCAAGAAAAGAGAATAGTAACTGAGACGATATTTCCGGGACGGAGAGAGTACTTTTATATTATCGTTTCTATTTCGTCCATATTCCGTCCAAAATTAGTTTGCATATTGATTTCACAAAAAATTAATAATTGCCAACAAATGTTAAAAAGTAAAAGTGAGTAATATTTTTTTACAATTTTTTTGAAGTTAGAATAAATATTTTAGACCATATATTCTTTACAAAAAAAATAGAAAAAGATGAAGTATTTCTTTGGAAATAGATAAAAAAAGTGAAAAATTCAATGCCTAGAATTAGTAAACACTAAACAATTCAATGATGAAGTAATGTTTTTTTTATGAACAATGAAAGGTTGAGGTATTTGAGGAATATTAATTACTCCCTCCGTCCGAAAATGTTCTTCCCATTTGACTTTTTACGGTCTCCAATATTGCGTTTTGACCATTAATATCTATATTTATACATAGATAAATTTTATAAAAATTTGATATTTGAAAACTACGTTTCATTATGAATATATTGATATTAAATTTACATTATAATACAATGTATTTTTTCCACAAATCGTAGTCAAAGTTTACAAACTTTGACTAAGAAAAGTCAAATGTGAAGAACATTTCCGGACGGAGGGAGTAACAAACAGAAGAGGTGGAGTGCCAATAGTTAAACTTGGAGTGCCATTATCAATATCCCCTATTAATTGACCAACATGTATTTATTTAAGTTTAACTTTAAATACTCCATTACATCTATTTATTTCCTGTACACATACTCCTTTGCTATCAGCACCTTAATGTGGCACAAAAGTATACTCTTTCAGTCCAACGACATGCTTTTCATTTGGTTTATGATGTTGGACTAATATTATTTTCATTGTAATTTATTTGAAAATTGGTATAGATATAAAAAAAATTATATATTTAAAAACTAAACAATAAAATTTTAAAATTAATAGACAAACTTTGACTATTTTATTTTATCACAAGAGCAATGAAAATTTGCAAGTAAAGAAGATATGGTTTGACCCTTTTAATGATAATGTGGAACCTTAGTTTGGGATTGACTGATTGAGGGAGTATAATTAATTACTTATTTCTAGTTGTACTTACGTTTGCATTTTGTGCACAAAAATTGAAGTTATAAATATATGATCCCAATCATATTTAGTTTTCATTGCCGATGGAGCTAAGAGTCATTAATGACAAGGTTTTAGCTTCGTGTGAACAGTGATTAAATCAAAATGATATATTAAACTTCCCTCAGTTCTTATTTCCTATGAAGTTTTGGGAAGTAAATGCAACAATGCATCAAAGGTCTAATGGGATAAAGTTGCATACATCTTGACCTCCAAGGCTTGGGTTGTGATTGCAGTGCTTTGTTATTAATGTTGTATCCAGTAATAAAAGGATTCATTTGATTATTCTTTTAAGCTCTCTATAACACTGGAGATGACAGAGACTATAAGCAGACGTTTTATTCATCCCTCAAGAAGACATGCACCCTCCACTGCTAAGGTACACTTTTCAACTAGTGCATTGCATTTCCTTTTCTTTGTGCCATTAAGCTTTATTTTCTTCTGATGTAATGGTTGGTCTCTGGTCTAAGTATTGTCACAGCCATGCTTGTGGAAAGTTTGTAGAATTTAACTTAGTTGATAAGTTGATTAGAACTTCATACCTGTTTTATGGTTCCCTGAGCAATGTTGTTTGTGACATGCTGCGAGCATATAGAATATGCTTATCGCTCTTCATTCTATGTTTTTAATTTTGACATTTTGTGAGTGAGAGTTGCACAACTGCCAGCATCATTCTTAGCAGTCTCTGCATCTGTGTGTTACTAGGCCTACAGCCAAGAAATGACTTTGCATGTTGATTTTTAGAATCACATGCAAAGTGTTTATTGCTACTCCCATTCCATATTATCTTATTATCTGGGTGTTATTTTTTTTTGTGCCAAATTTTGACCAACAATAAAGAAAACACGCTCCCTCCCATCCTTAAACAAGCTTCACTATTACTATTCACATATCAAGCTATATCTTCCTATTTGTTTTAATTATTTTCTCACAATAAAGTAGTAAGGCGTCAAGACACCTGTGTTATAGAACTTTTGAATTTCAATTTTTAAATTTACACCAATATTTAATAAATTGAATTGAAAATAATTTTGGTCAAACATTGAAAAACAAAAAATGAAGTTTTTTTTAGGGGCGAAGGTAGTACAAAAGTTTGGCACGGAAAATAAAAGTCACAGATACTCTAAAAAATTACTTGTGGGTGACACCAGTTTTGTTGAAACAACTCTCAGGTCCCTCTATTTTCCTAAAACTACCATGGGTATTTAAAATTTGTTGTAATACCTGCTAGGGACACTCCGTCCCGACTTCTACTAGTAATAGTCAAAGGTCGTTAATTGTTGTTTATTTTGTATATGTCCTTTTGTTGTCTATGGTATACACTAATATTAAATGTAATAACGTACCAAATCGGATATAAATAAGAAACTTATTTTTAAACCTTAATTTGTTAAAAAAAGTCAACCTACCCTTGATAAGAAGTGAAGGGGTAATGTTTTTATTCTTAGATTTTTAATAATCTGTGATATTTTTTTCTTTTAGTCTGTTTAATAGTTTTATACATTCAAAAGTGTTATTCTTTTACAAAGCATAGTAGTGATATCAGAAACTAATTGAAATTGCAAAAGACAACATTAAACTCATTTTGTCCTAGTGTGTTTTTTCGGCCTAACTTTTCATACACATACTAGATGTTTTTTTATTATCAATTAAATAAATATTACATTGTATAGTAGTAACATAAAATAAAATTTAAAAAAAATATATACAATGCAATATGATGGAGATCGGGTCCATGAGCTTAGTTGAAGAAGTGGGTCTGATCGGCCCAAGCCCAGAGGGCTGCAAAGTACAGCGAGACCCAAAAGGAAAGAGAGAACGTGCCGAAGTTTAGAAGGGCTTTAGCCTGTGAGAATCTTCTAGATTTAAGGAGAGTGTATTGTAATAGGAACTTTGAAGATTGAGGCGTTAGATTAAGGATTGAGATCCGGTTCCTTCTAGGATTCGGATACCTAATTTGTCTCTCCACAATATGTACAAATACACCCTCCCTTATGGGAGGGGAATCCAAAATCATTCAATACACAACATATTGTGAGATTTACCCTCTTATTTTGATTATTCTTGATTGGATCTTGAGATCCATCACAATATTTATTTAATTGATAATCAAAATTCCTCTAGTATTTATACAAAAGTTAAATTGGACACACTGGAATTCGGAGTATAATATCATCTTTTTATATTTAAGTTAGTTTTTGTTGTTACTACTGTTCTTTATAGTAAAATAACACATTTAAATGTACAAAACTATTAAAATAACACATTTAAATGTACAAAAACTATTTTCAATTCATTTTTTTTTGAAAATTGGTGTGGAATTAAAAATAAAATTCATATATTTAAAAATTATACCCAAAGTTCCTTAAATTAAGAGCTTACATAACTATATCATTTTATCAAGTGACAAACAAAAATTGGTAAAGGAAATGGTTAACTTTTCACCCTGTGAATAGTGAATAAGCAACGTAAATTGGGATGGAGGGAGTATAACAGAGTATTTAAAATCTAAGAATACAAATAGTACCCCTTCTTTTCTTATTAAGGTTGACTTTTTAAATAGTGCCATGTGAATAGTGAATAGGTTGACTTTTAGTTTTGAAAAATTAAGGTTTGAAAATAGGTTTCTTTATTATATCCGATGTTAAGAGACTTTTCTGGCTATCTAAAGCGCGTCAGAGGAAGGTCCGAGACCTGGATCTTGTGAGATGCGTGAAGGGCATTGATGATTTAGACTTTAGGTATTGTTGGCGCCTTAGTAAGGAGGAAGCCCGGGCCATCCGCAGGATGAGAAGTGGGGGGGGGGGGGGGGGGCGGCTTGGGGCCATATGAGATTCGGGTGGAGTTTTAGAAATGTGCGGGCCACAATGGGTTGGTTTCGATAACCAAGCTATTTAATGTTATTAAGGACGGCTAAGATGCTCGATGAGTGGAGGGAGAGTGTGTTGGTCCCTCTTTTAAGGGTAAGGGTGGCATTCAGAGTTGTGAGAATTACAGAGACATCAAACTGCTTGTCCACACAATGAAGGTTTGGGAGCGTGCTATTGACTTTAGGGTGTTAGAGGGGGTGTGCATCTTGGAGAACCTGTTTGGTTTCATGCCTGGCAGATTGATGGTAGATCGACAACAGAGGCCATTTATCTCCTGCGGTGGGTAATGGAAGAGTATATTGCTAAGAGGAAGGAGTTTCATATGGTGTTTATTCACCTCAAGAAGGGACATGACAAGGTTCCATGGAGGTTTTGTGGAGGTGCCTTGAGTCAAGAGGGGTTCCGATAGCATACATTTGTGCTGTCAGAGGTATGTAGTGCAGGGCAAGGACTAAGGTAAAGATTGGCGGGTTGACTCAAAGCCTTTCTCCGTAGAGGTGGGGTTACACTAGGGGTCTGCCCTTATCTCATTCTTGTTCGCTTTGGGGATGAATGTTCTGACGCAGGGAGTCCAAAGGGAGGTCGTGTGGTGCATGCTTTTTGTTGACAATGTTGTGCTTATCGACGACACTCGAGAGGGACTAAATGACAAGTTGGAACTTTGGCGCCTTTTTCTGGAATGCAAAGGATTGAGACTAAGTAGGATCAAGACTGAATGCATGGAATGTCTTTTTAGTGGCCAGGAGACCGTATGAGGGAGGGAGGGGGGGGGATTTGGATTGGTCCTCACCTAGTGCCCAAAGTTGAACAAGTTTCGATATCTTGGTTCGGTCTATCACATGGATGCAGATTTGGACGAGGATAAGAAGATTTTGGCTAGGATGAAAGGTAAGTTCTATCTGTCCGTATTCAGGCCCGCTATGCCGTATGGTGTTGAGTGGTTAGAAAAACACACGTTCGTCAATTGCATGTTGCAGAGATGCGAATGCTACGTTGGATGAGTGAACAGACGAGGATGGATAGGATTCAGAATGAAGTTATCCAAAGACGGGTTTACGTGGCACTCGTGGAAGATAAGCTACAAGAAGCTAGGCTAAGGTGGTTTGGGCATGTGAGTGGGCGGAGTTTTGATGCCCTAGTGCAGAGATGCGAGGGGCTTACGTTGGAAGGTGGGAGTAGGGGTAGGGGCAGACCTAAGAACTATTGGGAGGGTGATTAGCCATGACTTGGGACTTCTTGCCGTTACTGGTGATAGCAGCGTTTGGAAAGCTAGGATTAGGGTAGTTAGGTAGGCACTTTGAACTAGGCGATGGTTTCCGCACTTGTGTGCTTTTTATGTTTTGTATGCTTTGTTGTGTGCTTTGTATGCTCTGTGCTCTTATATTATCTGTTCTACTTGAGTTGGGGGTCTCATGGAGCATCCTCCCTACTCTCGTGGGTCCCAACAGGGTTGTATTATATCCAATGTGGTATGTTAGTACATTTGCGGTAACGGGTAAATAATATTAAAAAGAATAATGTACAAATACAACGGGCATACCCGCGAACAAGGGGTAGACACTCCCCATAAGACAAACCAAAGAGGAGCATAGGCATGCAGGCCCAAACAGAATCAAAGGCACGCAGGCCCAATCAGAGTCAAAGGCATGCAGGCCCTGGTAGAATTACACCAAAAGTGGACAAATCAAACTAAAAGTCAATGCAAACATATGGCCAAAGACGCCCAAGAATGGTATAAACCATAACTTTAATTTTACAAACAAGAGACGTAATATCAAGAGGCTTATGATCAAAACAAACCTCATTCCGGGACTTCCAAAGCATAAAGACGGTGCAGGAAAATGCAAGCTTCATCGCCCTCCTCCTGGGTATGTTAGTACATTTAATTTCATTGTATGAAGTAGACAACATTAGGGCAAAATAGGGAATACACAGCAGCCATTAACGTCCTTTGACAATTATTTATGGAAGTATGGACAGAATGCCCCATAGCAGGTATTTCAACAAATTATAAATGCCCATGGTGGTTTTAGGAAAATAGAGGGACATGGGAATTGTTTAAACAAAACCAGCATCACCCACAAGTAGTTTTTTGCAGATATTTCCTCCCTCCCTTAAAAAGAGTCCATTTTGTTGAATGTACACGGTTTTAATTTTAGTGAGGTACAACACTTCCAAGTTCCAGAGCACTATATATACCTATACTCTTAAACAAGTAAAGAAATGTGACTCTTATGGGACAAAAATAAATTAGGAAATATTATTCTCTTTATGAGAGACGGAGTAATATGGAAAGAAGTAATTAAAATTGCTGTGGTAATTACTCTGTAGTTTTTAAGGAAACTTCAGCTTCACTTAATACCGTGACTCTATCACAGGTTCATAGTGATCATTATGAAGTCGTAGCAGATTTGGTGCAGACAAGCTTTCTGTTTTCCATTCCTATCGATGGGCCCATGTCTTTTTCAACTCGCTACGCCTCTGTGCAGTGGGCTCTTCGATTTGAATTCTTTACCAGTCCCAAGAATGTGGACTGGACCAGGTAAGCAATAAAATCGCCATCTGAAAGAAAATGTTTTGCACATAGGAGGATTTTCAAAAAAAATGAAAAATCATCTCCATCTTATCAGGTATGAGCATCCACTTTTGATAGAAGAAAGAGAGAAATGTGAGTGGGTTCTTCCAATAACTGTGCATGCACCACCGGTTAGCGCTGCAGCAGCTCAGGTCCAAAACGACAAGTCCTTCTCTTTGGAGGAAGCCCCCTTGTGGATACACACTTGATACGGTGAAATGAAATTGCAGTGCACATCATCAGGTCTATCATCCCGATTGCTTTGAGGATTTTTTCCCTGTGAAAAAGTGGAGCCAAATGCTGGCTCGTTCATGTTGTGGTTCCTTTCTGAGATGCAATGAAGCGCATTCATCTTCGATTTCAACGAGTGGAATCCTTTTTTTAATGGAATGCATTTGATGCTTCTCTTTTATTGTAGTGTTCATGTAATGTAGTGAGAGATTTTCTTCTTCTTGTCCTTTTATCTACAAATTATATTTAACTTTGGAAATGACCTACATTCATGACATTTTTGTATGTCCTTGAGTGACATTTTCATTATTATTCTGAATAATACTCACTTCATTTATCCTTGGCATATTTTTTTGCTCATTAGTCTTACAGAAAATGCACATTTTGTTGTAGGGAATGCTTATGTTATATTTTCACATTTTGAAAGTACAATGTTCAAGGTACATGTGAAGATAATATATGCCTACACTGTCTTTTATTATTATTATTATTATTATTGTTGTTGTTGTTGTTGTTGTTGTTGTTGTTGTTGTTGTTGTTGTTGTTGTTGTTGTGTTGTTGTTGTTGTTGTTGTTGTTGTTGTTGTTGTTGTTGTTGTTATTATTATTATTATTATTATTATTATTATGAGTAGGATTCTTATTATTATGATTATGATTTTTATTATTGTTATTGTTATTGTTAGTATTAATAATATTATTATTGAAGCATGTATAAAGTGTTTGGTAGTTACTCCCTCCGTCCCTAAATATTCACAACATTTGTTTTTTCAGCAGTCGCGGGAACTTTTGTTTATTTCGACATTTTCATTGGTTATTTGATAAAATAAAATATTTTTGACACCTCTTATTTCGAAGAACTTTTCATGTAGTTTTTTGATATGTAATTTTTATTTTTTATTTTTTTACCAATATATAAATAAAATGAATTGAAAAAACTTGATATTTTGCTTCGGTAATAGAAATGTGACAAATAATTTGGAACGGAGAAAGTACTATTTTGTCCCAAATTAAATTGTTTGTTTTAGTTTCTAATGTTTGATTTAAAATATTTTCAATAAAATTTATTTGAGAATTAGGATGGATTTAAAAAATAAAATTTAAATATTTAAAAACGACACAAAAAATCCAATAATACAAGAGATGATCCTTGATCCTTATGCTTTTTGTGGAAGCATTGTCGAGCTAGGAGCTATGGAGACAGTAGGATACTTCGTGGGTTTGAGGTATTGTCGTTCTAGTTTAAATCTTTTGGCAAGGATTTGTTTTCAAAAACTAGTTTTTTATGGATTCCAATTTCTTAAGTAAGAACCTTAAGGTATTAGAGTAGAGAATTTTCAAACAAGTATAAAATTACAATGCACTTATTTTATGGTTTAATCTATTGCGGTTATCATTATACATTTATCTCAACGCACTTACTTTTCAAATAAAACACCGTTACACAAAAATAAAAGTACAAGTCAAAAAAGGTTTTAAAACTATTAAAACACTTTACTCCTAAGTCACAAACAACTTTCACTTGTTTCACGTCATAGTTTTGGAAGCATTTGTTACTTGCAATGGGGACAAAACTTTAATCTAGCACAACATTCCATACGTAGTTTGGAGTTGAGAGTAGTACTTACCCTTTATGGAGTTCGTGCATAATAACTCCACTATGTTGAACAAAGCTAAGTGAAATGCAACTTGATCAGCCTAAAGCATGTTCTCTCGACAAGGCATTGGTCAAAACCAACAACCTTCACACAAAAAATAGCACCTATTTTGTTGTGATTCTTAGGTACCCAAATCATCTTTGTTGTTATATTCCTTTTTCTAGAACTTTGCTCCTTGAATTTCTTGCATTGCCTTTGAACGTGTTCCCTTCTTCCACAACAAAAACAAACATAATTAGCATAGACATTAGTGTAAAAATACCTTCTATGTTTACCATGATGATCTTGGTATCTTCTCAAACTATATTGTTTCGTACCTCTATGCCTCTCTCTATAGGCTATTTTATAAGATGTTCCAGCAAATGCTGCATGAGATGCCTCAGCTACTCTGACAAAAGATGCTTCGTCAAACTTGACAACTTCTAGTTTCTTCCTTTGTGGGACCTATTAAACAACTTCCTTTCTTCAATCAACAAACAAGTCGAGTGGCGTCTTGTTGCTTTTAGAACTTGAAAATTCGAGACCAGTCTTGTCTCCATAGAATTTAGAAATATTCCCTTATCGCTCAATAGATTTTGCTCCAGCATTCCTCATCCACTTGTGATAGTTTTTTATTTGATTTCATTAATACTTGAGATTAGATTGTTGCCCTTCTAATTCTTCAATCTTCTTTTTTGATTTTGAAAGATCCTCCTTGAGTCTATTTCGCTTGGGAACAAGATGATGATTCTCTATGACAGTTTTCTTGTTGACTTGTAGAAGTTCTGTCCACTTCCCTTTGAGAATAGCTAACTATTCTGTTGTGTCAACCTCTGTATCATCTTCTATGTCATTCGCTATGTCATCCTCTATTGTCATCTTAACTTTTTATCTCTGTAACACTTTAGTGAGTTGTTCTACAGTTTGTTTTGACTCAACAAGTTCACGTTTGAGTCTACAGTTTTCTAAGATGTTTTCCTTCTTGACCCGTCGAGACTCTTGAATTATTATAGCAATTATACGCATCTCATTTGTATCAATGTCATCATCATAGTCATCTTCATCACTATAGAAAAGTTGGAAAAGCACAACATGTTCAAGCACTCTCTTTAACACGCTGATTCTCTTTTTCAACTAGAATGACACGCTGCTTCTTACGTCTTAGGTCTTCATGCATCTCCAATTCTTTGACGTCCATTGAATATTTTTCTAGAAGAGGACAAAGAACTTTCAACATGTCTGTTTTCTGTAAATGGTTCACCAAGTCTCTCACTCTCATTCGCTAACTCTCTAACTTGCCCATGAAAATTTGTGATAGACTCAGCATCTTCCATCTTAACATTTTCAATTTTAGACATCACAATCTGAAGCTTGACAGTTTTTACCTTTGTAGTGCCTTCATGAGTCGTAAGAAAAATATCCCATGCCCTCTTGGCCTATGTACAGTTTGAGATTGGGTGAAATTGAGATCTATCAATTAGTCCAAAGACTGCATTCAAAGCTTGGTCATTGGATTCTGCTGCAACCTTTCACTCTTGGTATATCTTTCATAAGGTTTTGGAATCAATGTTCCATCTCCATTAGTCATAGTAGGAACTAACCATCCAATCACTGTGCTTCTCCAAAGATGTCTAACAAGAGACATGAGAAATGCTCTCATTCGACACATCCAAAAAATAATCATGACCGCATAACAATGGAGGTCTGAAAACATTGGCACCTTCTTGAATATCTCCAGTGATAATAGATCGATCAAACTAGTAAATTAAGCTTGACATGCTCCAATACCAATTGTAAGTTTGTGGGGGTAGCGGAAATAACCAACAAAAATAATCTAGGCCAAGAGATCAAACAAACAAACACAAACATCTACAGAAGAGGTTGTAGTACTGTCACAGAATCACATGACAGACAGAGTGCTATAACACCTTCTCCGTTACACGTGCAAACACAAAATATAAAGTAAAAGCAGTAAACAATGCACAAGAATTGTTTACGCAGTTTGAAACAACTTTCCTACGTCTGCAAAGCCCACGTGCGTGTAATAGCCCTTCCATAAATCACTGTAAAGATTACACCTTCAATTCTAATACATTCTATCTACGAATCGACTTAATCTTCTTACACGTGATTTGACGATAAACTCTATTTGCACTTATCTCCACGGCTTGTTACACCTTCACCAAGATAACTATAAAGACGCGTTTGCAATCCTAGTTCGAACACACCAAATATCAGCTTCCAAAAATTGTTTTTCTTCTTGTGCATGATCGTTGTATGAATTGACAAAGCACCCAAATTAATGTGCCACTAAGATACTCTCCTTGATCAAAATATGAATAAGGTGTAGCTATTGCTCCTCTGTAACAGCAATACTCCATATTTTCCTTTTAATTTTTGTCTGCCCCCAATTGGCACAATTTTCCACCTTATATAAAAGTTAACTCCATATGTGTTGTATACTTTGGGCAACTAATACGGGCCTCAACCCCGAAGTACCACCCGAAGAGGAAGACCATGACCCGTCCGTCCCAGCCGCACCGGGTCGTCCAAAGAGGGCTGTTCGCCCGCCAAGAAAGTATCAAGATTATGTTTAATTATTTTCCATCATTATCTTTTAATTATTGTATTTAGATTTTCCTAGGTGAGCGTAATTATAAGCTCCTTTGAGAGTTTCTTTTCGGTTCTTTACCTCGTCGCTTTTCTTGAATCGACACGATAGATAACGTAGTTTTACTAGGATTGGGAAACTCTCTTCTATATAAGAGGTGTTTANAGGGCTGTTCGCCCGCCAAGAAAGTATCAAGATTATGTTTAATTATTTTCCATCATTATCTTTTAATTATTGTATTTAGATTTTCCTAGGTGAGCGTAATTATAAGCTCCTTTGAGAGTTTCTTTTCGGTTCTTTACCTCGTCGCTTTTCTTGAATCGACACGATAGATAACGTAGTTTTACTAGGATTGGGAAACTCTCTTCTATATAAGAGGTGTTTACACCTCATGCATAATCATCAATAAAGAAGTTCCCTACTCCCTAAACTCCTTCTCTCTCTAAACTCTCCCTCTCTTCCTTTGGCTACACGAAATCCTAAGGGTTTCGGCCTTCTCCCTCTCCCAAACCTTGCCGCTGGATTTCCTTTTCCCAAGCCACGCCGGCAACTTCCGGCCTACCGATACCAACTTGGTATCAACCGGTGCTCTCATTTTCGTCCTCATTGGCGTCCTCATGTCATCCTCTACGCCGACGCCCGAAACTTCCAACCCCCCGTTGAAGTTGGAAGACCTCATGCATGCAATCTTGGATATTCGGCAGGATCTTCACGCCACGAAGCTTCGCGTCGCCGAACTAGTGGTTCCCCACCATGATGTCCGTCCTCCACCACGCCCTCCCCACACGGGCTAGCAGCCGCCACCTTCCCGTACATCTGCATCAACGTCCGAACCAGCCCCTCGCATGCGGGTGGATGCTCCCCGTTTCTCAGGCGACGATCCTACCAGGTGGATTTTTCGGATTCAGAAGTACTTTGATTATTTCCTTACACCGGAACCCGAACGACTCCAACTCGTTGCTATGCTCATTGATCATCCGGCGTCCGAATGGTTCCACTATTATATGGCCAATAACTTCGGGGCGTCGTGGGATGCGTTCTTGCTCGCGGTCCAACAACGGTTTGATCCCCACTACTATGAGAACTATGTCGGCCTTCTCTCAAAGCTGACTCAAACCACTTCGGTCATGGAATATGAGACAGCTTTTGAGTCCATACTCAATAAAGTCTTGGGAGTTCTAGAACCAAAGTTGATCTCCATGTTCGTCGCAGGGCTCCGCCAACCTATTCAACGTGAGGTCAATCTCCGGAATCCAGCCTCCGTGCCAGCCACCTTTACCTTGGCCCGGGAATTATCGGCATGCCACGCCGAAGCCGCAGCCACCTATACCCGGGCTCTTCGCCGCCAGTGGCCTCCTCGGCCGCCGCCGCCGTCCCCCACTTCAGCCGGCCTCTTGCCCACACCTGGGTCGGGAAGCACCAGTACCGCCCCTCCTCCCCGGCCACCGGATCGGTCCCCAATTTCCCGGTTGCCCGTGGTTCGTGTGACCAACGCCGAGAAGACCGAACGTTCTAAGAAAGGGCTCTGTTGGTACTGTGATGAAAAATGGGATGCCAGCCATAATTGTCAACGGCGGTTTCTCGTTCTCATGGGCCCCGAGGACGACGACACCACCGCTTCCGTAACCAGTCCGCCCCCCGACGAGGACGATACCCCTCTACTCTCCGGGGATATCTCTAGCATCCTCTCCCTTGCCGGAAGCCCGAGCCCTCGTTCACTAAAAGTTGCCGGATCAGTCCACAATAACGCCGTACAGGTGCTCTTGGACAGCGGGAGTACGCATAACTTCATCCACCCTAGCGTGGCGGAACGTTTGGCATTGGTTATTCATCCGGTCTCCCCATTCCGCGTATACGTGGGTAACGGTGACTCCCTCCGCTGCTCGTACTCTTGTCCGCAGGCGGCTCTCCTTTTCCAAGGCAACCTCTTCAGTATTGACCTCTACCTCCTGGAGATCCACGGCCCGAATATCGTCTTGGGCGTCCAATGGCTTCAAATGCTCAGGAAAGTGACTCATGATTACGCCAAGATGACCATGGAGTTTACTTGGCACGGGTCGACTATCGCGCTGCGATGTTCCAGGGCCACGCCCAATCTCCTATAGCCAATTTTTCTCCCTCATCGGCGCCCACTCTACGGTGGATTTGTACGAATTGGTGCCCACCACTCCTTCGCCGACTGTGGACACTCCAGCAACCCTAGATCTACCCCCGGATGTCCCCGCCCTGATAAGCCACCTGCTTCGGGAACGTCTAGCGATTTTTAGCCAACCCACAGGGCTGCCCCTGTTGCGTGATTGGGACCATCAGATCCACCTAGCCGCCAACTCCAAGTCAATCAATGTGCGGCCTTACCGGTACCCGTACTACCAAAAATCAGAGATCGGGCACCAAATTCAAGACATGCTCCAGCAGGGTATCATTCAACCGAGTCACAGCCCGTTCTCGTCTCCTATCCTGTTAGTCCGCAAGAAAGACGGCACCTTCTGTTTTTGCGTTGACTATCAGACCTTGAACGCCGCCACGGTCCCGGACAACATTCCCATTCCCACCGCCGACGAGCTCTTTGATGAATTGGGGAATGCCCGGGTATTCACCAAGCTGGACCTTCGCTCCGGTTACCACCAAATCAGGATGCGCACATCAGACACCTACAAAACGGCCTTCCGCATGCATGATGGTCATTGGGAGTTTCTAGTGATGCCCTTTGGCTTGTGCAACACGCCGTCTACCTTTCAAGCGGCTATGAACAACATCTTCCGGGCTTTTCTACGACGGTTTGTCATCGTCTTTTTTGACGATATATTAGTTTATAGCCCAACCATAGACGAGCACACTGCCCACCTAGCCACTGTTTTGGACACCTTGGCCGCGCATACCTTCTTCCTCAAGCTAAGTAAATGCTCCTTTTTCCAATCCACCGTCACTTATTTGGGGCATGGTATCACGGCTAGGGAACTCCATCCGGACACCGAGAAGATCAAGGCCATGCTTGACTGGCCGAAACCCATTGCCATCAAACACCTTCGGGGATTTCTCGAGCGCCTCAAAACCACCATGACTATGGCACTGGCGCTACGTCTCCCGGATTTCTCACAAACTTTTTATTTGGAGACCGATGCATCTGACACAGGGGTGGGCGCCGTACTCCTCCAGCAGGGCCATTCACTCGCGTTCTTCAGCAAGAAACTCGGGCCGCGACGGCGGGTGGCTTTGATATACCACAAGGAATTATACGCCATTATGGAGGCGGTCCAAAAGTGGCGTCAATATCTTTTGGGTCGGGAGTTTGTTATCCGCAGCGATCAACGTAGTCTCAAGGAGTTGCTCTCCCAGGTCATTCAAACGCCGGATCAGCAATTTTATGTACGGAAGCTCATGGGCTACAAGTTCCGTATCAAATACAAGACCGGCGCTTCAAACCGGGCCGTCGACGCTCTCTCCCGCCGAGAGGAGGATCCCGAGGTCGCTTCTCTCCTACTCCATGATATTCAACACGAAAACACCACAACGGACGACCTCGGAGAATTGCATGCCGCGGTTACTGCCGGGACGACCCCTCCCCATTTTTCAGAACATCACGGCCTGCTCTACTTCAAATGCAGGCTACTTCTTAGTGCGGCCTCCACCCTTCGGCAGCAGCTACTACACGAGTATCACGCCACACCGTTGGCCGAGCATCAAGGCGTGGAGCGCACATTCCGAAGGTTGGCCGACGAGTTTTATTGGCCAGGCATGCGGGACGATGTTCGCCGTTTTGTGGCTTCCTGTGAGGTCTGCCAGACGACAAAATATTCCACACGCAAGCCAGCCTCGTTGCTTCAACCCCTACCTATCCCCGATCAGGTGTGGGAGTCAGCCTCCATGGACTTTATTATGGTGGTAGTGGATTGCCTCACCAAATACTCACATTTTGGGACTCTGGCCACCGGTTTCGATGCCTCAAAGGTCGCACAACTATTCCTTGACGTTGTGGTGAAGCACCATGGGTTCCCGAGCTCCATTGTTTCGGATCGAGATCCGGTATTTATGAGTACCTTCTGGCGAGAATTGATTGTCTAAGCGGGACCTCTTTGAAATTCAGCACGGCCTACCATCCCCAAATTGACGGCCAGACCGAGGTCCTTAATCGCGGCCTTGAACAGTACCTGCGCGCCTTTGCCCATGAGCGCCCCGCCCGCTGGTCATCCTTTCTTATCTAGGCCGAATTGGCATTGAACTGCAGCACCAATGAGGGGCTGGGCATCTCCCCCTTCCAAGCTCTCTACGGCCGGCCGCCCCTTCCTTGTTTCCCACCATGTACGTCCGCTCTAGGGTACCCGCCGTCGAAGAAATATTACAGGAACGAGCTGAGTTGTTAACGGATACTAAAACCCACCTCTCACGCATGAAACAGTGCATGCGGGCGCAAGCCAACCGGCACCACCGGGACCTATCCTTCAACGTTGGCCCTTGCACCCGTGTCGGCAACACTTTTTGGCCCGTCCAGTCTCCGTCAAGCTTGCCCGAAGATACTATGGGCCATTCGAGGTTTTAGAATGGGGAAGTTGCTTACCGACTTCGTTTGCCGGAAGGGTGCCAGATCCACGATGTTTTTCACGTGTCACTATTCAAGCTTTTTGTGCCACGTGATTCTTTGCCACCACCGACCCCTCTTCCGGATGCCTTATACAAAGGGCGGCCACTATCTGTTCCTGTAGCCGCAGTGGACAGTCGCACTATACTGGTTGACGGACTCGCCCAGGAGCACTGGTTAGTCCGTTGGTCGGATGGCTCCAATGAGATGCAACATGGGAGCCGTTGGAGGATCTCTTACGCCATTTCACCGATCTTCGTCTTGAGGACAAGGCGGTTTCTAACCCCGGGGGAGTTGATACGGGCCTCAACCCCGAAGTACCACTCGAAGAGGAAGACCATGACCCGTCCGTCCCAGCCGCACCGGGTCGTCCAAAGAGGGCTGTTCGCCCGCCAAGAAAGTATCAAGATTATGTTTAATTATTTTCCATCATTATCTTTTAATTATTGTATTTAGATTTTCCTAGGTGAGCGTAATTATAAGCTCCTTTGAGAGTTTCTTTTCGGTTCTTTACCTCGTCGCTTTTCTTGAATCGACACGATAGATAACGTAGTTTTACTAGGATTGGGAAACTCTCTTCTATATAAGAGGTGTTTACACCTCATGCATAATCATCAATAAAGAAGTTCCCTACTCCCTAAACTCCTTCTTGTTAGACAAATGTGCAACTCTAGAGGGGGGTGAATAGAGTTGTTTTCAAGAATG